CCCCCTGTCTAGCTTCTCCACTTCCTTTTTTTATATTTACTGCATGCTCTTGCTTTTTCGCAAGCACGTTGTACGAGACCTTTCTTAGGGAAAAAAGCTTTAAGTATTTTTTTTCTTTCATCAAAAAAAATTAGGCACGATGGTTTCGGGGACCACCAAGAGTACAAAATTCCGTGTCAAATAAAAAAAGAAATTAAGTAAAGGAAAGCTTGGAAACAAAAATAAATGTTAAATAATTTTTTGTAGAAGAACGCAAAGTTTTGTCGTTGCGATTAGAACGACGACTCCCTTGCAATTACACGTAATTTGCGTCAAAATGCCCTTACTGATAGTTTTATGCTTTGTAATTTGTACCTTGCGCATGACAGAGCCAGTACTGCAACTTAGCAGCCAATTTCGGTGCACGTTTATGTGATACTTCAGCACGGAAAGAAACGATTAAACATCCGAGATCGTGAAAGTTATTCCAACTGGGTTTTACCAAAAGAAGAAGAAAAGTTTCACTCTTATTTTCATGCTTATGTCAATTAACACGAAAGCTTTTTTTTTATTTTTGTTTTTAAAATCGAATTATCCTGAAGAACTTTCTCTGTTTGATTTTGTTGTTTTCTAATCACGATTTTTATGGGGGATGGAGGATAATGAAATAAACGAAATCAAATCTATAGGATACGTGGAAAATGATTGTTTCTCACATGATTATCATTTTTTTCCGTTCTCGAGTAATAGAATCCTATGTCGTATTAATTATCCCCAAGAAACACAGCTTGTATTTTAAATGTATCTTGTTTGCTTTTATACAAACAAACAAAACTGTACACAAGTTACACAATGTGCTTAACGCGTGTAAAAATGTAGAAATATATTTGAAAAATAAAAAATAATTTATTTATCGTATTTTATATAACGCGTAATAAAAATAAAGAAAAATATAGATTAATATCTAAAGAAACCCCATACTTTTACAATTAGATTATAAAAATCAAATATCTATTTATATTATTACAATTTAACGCACATATATCTATATCACTTTTCTCTTTATCAAATAAAATAATACAAAATGAATGTTTTTTTAAAAAAATAAATATCACATAAATCGCACATTGCGAAATGATTGATAAAATGTAATTTAAACCGAGCTCACTATAGTTGATTTTTCATGTTGTAGCAACTTATCTCGATCCAGGAGGGTTGGGAGATTCTAGACAATATTTAAAAGAAGCAAGTTCTAGCCCACAAACGCCAATTACAGGAAATCATTTGGACGTGCCGCGTTCAATCGATCCTAATCCAAATCTTCTCAGTCCAGAAATTCTTACACAAAGAAGAGGTTTGTAATGAAAAGAAAATAATAAAAGTAATTAAAACTTTTTTCGTTTTACTTCGAAATACTTTTAACTAACGAGCTAATATTTCTTTTTTTATATATATATATAAATTCATTTTTATTATATAATATAATATATTCTATATAGTATCCTATAGAAATAATAAATTCTATAATATAAATTTGTGTATAATGAAAAAAGAAAAAATAATAATAATAATTTATAATATAATAATCGTGTTGAAATATAATTCAATTAATTGAATTGAAATCAACAGGAAGCAGAAGACCGAGTATCCTTCCTGTGCCTGACATGTTAACGAGCTCAACTTTACATCTACCAGGACAAGAATCCTTGGATCATGAGGGTGACGAATCGGAAGACGAAATGGACGATGATGTCCCATGGAGATCACCAAGTGAAAAAATAGCGTGAGTATATATATATATATATATATATATTTTTCTTTTCCATTACATTTTTACATACTTTTCTTTTTTTTTTTCTTTTTCTCTTTCTCTCTCTCTCTTTCTCTATCTCTCTTCCTGCATCTTTTATTTTATTTATTGAACTATACACCCGAGGGGGTCCCAGGAATCAAGGTATATCATCGAAATAAACAAATAACAAAAAATCTACCAATAAACAACGAAAGGAATTCGTTTGACGTTGAAAAAATTTCATTCGAATTGTTTCGATTAATACAACAAAAAAAAAAAAGAAAAAATAGAATAAACGTACGCGCAAAAAGATCTGGATTTCTTAGTTTTGTTAATTTTTAATACAAATCAAACACATAACATATATTATCTTAAAAGATAATTCGATTTGAATTTGTTAAACGTCGAACGATAATTTATAAACAAATATCCCGAGTATGTTAACGTTAGATTAAATCTAGATAATATCATCTATACACTTTCGTCACATTTTTTTTTATCTTTGTAATCCTAAATTCATATTTTATCGTATCAAAGAGGATATGATTCTTCTTGCACTGTGCATTTGCATGGCACACGATGTTTGTTCATTAAATATGTATACATATACATATGTATATATTAATTTAGATAAATATATACTTTTATTTACTTGTCTATTATACATAAATATATGCATATATGTATGTATGTATGTATGTATGTATATACTTATAAACTTATTTTATTATATTCTTATTTTCTTTCTTATATACAAAAATCTTCTCTCAATCTATCTTTTTTTTTCTCTCTCTCTCTCTCTCTCTCTCTCTCTCTCACATAATATATTTATCTTCACGTTTTATCGCGCGTATCGAAGCGCGTAAAGTGCAGCTTAAGTGAAAAACTCTTAGGATATATAAGGACTATACGATCGTACGGAAAACGAGCAATAAGGTTAACGATGAGATTGCTCACAAAACGTCGTGAAAGTTCTTCTCACTCACTCACTCACTCACTCACTCTCTCTCTCTCTCATTTTCTCTTAACTTGATATAACCGTATTATCCTGCCATCGTATAGTCCATTTACAAAATAAATATAATATAGTCAAGTAATTATGCAAGTATATTATATTAATCGTAAATTCGCACATTTTTTTTTTGTTTTTTTTT